GGAAGAGCTTTTAAAAACTACAAAGGCTTTGAGGCAGATGCATGAAAACCATTTAAATATTTCTCCCACTAATGAAGAAGGAAGCCAGACACAAAAGTATTAATAGGAAGCTGAACATCAGATCTGTGATTAGCCTCTACATCAGTAGCTACCCTAACAGACAGGATTTCTTTATTGGTGTGTAAGTTCTCTGTGGTTGTATGAAGTGTTTGCATAATGCATGCTGGGTATTGCAGTGAGAGAACACTGATGGAAGAAAACACAAAAAGGATAAAACAGTGAATTCTGTGAAACTGATGAGGCCCAAGGATGCGGTGCTGCACTATAGAATTTCAAGTACCGTTTAGATGGATGATGTAGGCTACCTTTCTGAATATTTTTACAAGATAACACTTATGCTGATAGATGTTGGATGTAATGAGTTTCACTGCAGTTCTATAAGTTACTCAGTACTTGAGGAGTTTTTTGACCTTCCATTTTTTACTCAAGTTGGTTTTTATTGAGTCATCATTTGATTGCAGTAACAGTCCTTTTATTGGGGTGTGGATTTACGTCTGTATATTAACGACATTTAGTGAACAAAAACTTTCTGAAATAGCCCTGTTTGCTTTGTGTGTGGGAGAGAGATGGAGTTTATAACACTGCTGCTGGCTTTTAAATTCTGCAGTGTAAGGGCCTCATTCTGAACTCTTGTGGGGACAGGCAGTCATAACTAATGAATGTACATAGGGAGATCGTTACGTCTTCTTAAAGCGAAAGTTCAACCAAAACACAAAAATATACAGGTTAAGCTTCTTGTCTGAGAAGGTCAAATGTTGAGACTTTAAAGTAATTAGCTGTTAAGCAAAGTCAATTGAGAAGGTGACTGGTAATTTATGCAGCCTGTTTCTGAATATTGTAGTGATGGTGGTGGAGCTTTTCAGCATTCCTCACAGTTTAGTTTCTGTTAATGTCTACAGGTCTTTGAGTTTTTTGTAATGTTATTCCTATTTCAACGATATATTTGAATGCATTTTACATGTTTTGCCATTAAACCGTGTTGGTGTTTTTTGTTTTAGATAACTAGTTAATCCTTCAATGTTACAATTAACAGATATCTGAATACTTACTGTCTTTGTAGTCTTGTAGACTGATATAAGTGCGTATAATTTTATAGTAGGATAAAAATTTTTTTCCCACATTCATGAGAATTTCCAGTTCATGCGTAGTGTCTAGTTGTGTGCTGTGCCTGTACAGTGTATTGTCTAAGTCTCTCTAAACATTCATGCTAACCCTCTGAAAATAAAAATGTGGAAATATTATCATGAGGAAGAGTCTAAGATGGACTGTTACAGGCATTTGGCCTCCTATACTATCAGTTTTCCAGAAAAGTTTCACCAAGTTTTACATACACAGAAGTACTTGGACATTAACACTGGAAACACTGCACTTGCCAAAAATATAGTGAAGATATAAATGTGTCAGATAAGCTTCAGGATGCACTAGCTCACTGGATTCCACAAGCAATGCTACAGCCAGGGGTGGACGTGGGCAGGAATGCATTGGAACCCTATTACCTGTAACTATTTCAAAACTGCATACAGTTGTTTTATTCCACTTTAAAGTGTGGCCATGAAGTGAAGTGTCTGTTGAACACATCTCAAGTCCCTCCTATGGCCCATTTAGCCAATGGGAAGTCATGGTGCTTTAGCAGGCTCCACCCATTTAGTCTCCACAGTAACAACTGTCAGGACAGTGTGTGTTTGGAACATGAATACAACCAAGAAACTCCACAATCAGTGGCATTATTTTAGATATGTAGTCTAGTCAATGTAATTCACATTATATTATGATTCATGTTTGTTGCTGAAAATCTCTGTAATGTCTACTATAATTTATATGTTAGTTAATGCAGCTCGAATATTAGGTACAGTAATGTCTGATACTCAGCTAGCTAGGCTGCTCATGCCAGCCATTCATTGTGAGCTAAGAATCTAAATATAAATATATCGAATGTAAAAGTAACTGGATACTGTTTTTTTTGACAGTCTAGGTCACATAATGAAAGGGGCAGTTTGGTATTTCTGATGCAATCGTGGTTGTTTTGACAAACGTTTGATGATTTACTTTGTAGTCTCTGCCTTGTTGAAAAATTTGTTCGGATTCTTGCATGTTATGTTGCTAGTTAATGGTAGTTTCAATGAAAGTACCATTAACTTTTAGGAGGTGTTTTTCTATGGTGTTGATGGTGTATCTTTACCAAATTTGGTGATTTTTTTAAAACATTCAAGGACTAAGGGATAACATAAGATGCAAGACCTTTGATTGGTCATTTTGTTTAGTTGCTGATGCCATTTGTGTGATTAGCTTCATGACATATAAAGTTTATGAAAAAATGTCAACATTGCAACCACAAAAATTAGGAACATTATATAGGGGTGGGCGATTGTCACGCTTCCCTCCGGCTCCCAAGCTGAACAGGACTCCATTTCCCATAATGCTGCTGACTCTCACATGACTC